ACGCTTCGGTCCAAATTTAATCGCCTCGTTCCGTGCCAGCTTCCGTTATTTCGGATCTTCGCCTCGTCCTCTCGAATTCTTGTTACCCCATCTTGAAATTGAATCGCCACGCGGTACGGTTTGTGCGGTTCGATCACGTAGCGCGAATCCGCGCGCCGTGGATCTTTGATGAAACTATTTGGACTTCTCGTTAGGTCGGCTAAGCTAATCGAGAGATACAGAGAGGAGCCGCATGTGTGTATTCGCATACTTGTGCGCACGTGTACACGTACGTATACAGTATCGTTTCCACGGCGCAGATGGTGCGGTCGGTCGCCGAGAGACGTACGTATATCGTTACGATCATTGATCTGTTTTATTCCTCTCTCGCACATAGGAGCGCGACGGGCCGTGGCTGCGGCCCGCGATCGTTACTCTATGCGCCACCTTGCCGTGTTCCGGAGATGAAGGGAGATGAGAGGGAAGGAGAGGGAGGGAGAAAGAGAGAGAGAGAGAGAGAAGTGCCAGTATCGATTCCGGCGAACTATATATCCGCGAAAGAAGCTGTACCTCGCCTCCTCGGCCGAGAGGACTGCACTTTCCTCCTACGCCAGGACGGCCCACGAAGACCGTGCCGTGATTATTGACGCACGAGTCAGGATTCCGCAAGGGAAGTCCTTGACGCGTGCATATTGCAAACGAAATGAAATAAAACGAGCATCCGGTATACCGTCGTAAGCTGTGCCGACCATAACTTCCAGCGCAATTAACATCTTGTGTACGCCAGCGAGAACCGCTCGAGCTCGATAAATCAAATGTGATATGTCGGAAGGAAAGGAAGAAAGGGCAGGGTAATTATGAAAATGAAATTGGCGAAGAAACGATAGCGAGTTTTCGAATAATTTGTGTGCCCTCTCGTCGGGCATCGGGAAATCCATGATCTTCACGTTAGCCCGAATCCCGTCGTTTGTCATCGCCGATCGATCTCGAACGAGCTGACAAAGTGCTCCGTCCTCTTTACGCGACGTCGCGAGGCGGCCGGTCAGCGCGAGGAAACGAGATCGAGTGGGAGCTGAGAGAAGGGAAAAGAAAGAGACCCAGCAGAAGGAGGAAAAGTACATAGCCTCCTCCGCGACGGTGTCGGTGGGGACGTCGAGACGGCCCTGAGTAGCGCGGAGACTATCAGACCCAAGGACGTCGCGGGCCTCGGATTCTCTCGATCCCTCTCTCCTCTCTCGTATCCTCTTTCCTCGTTCTTCTGTTCCCCCTGTCCCTCGATCCCCCAGCGCTTTTCGCGGGATCAACGAAGCGTTTTTCAATCGCGATAGCAGAACTCGATAGGATCTCTTCTTGCTCGGCCCTCGTTAGGCCCGATTACGATTGCATCGGATTTTGGCTCGATCGTAACGAGAAATTGGTGTGACGCACGCTTCACGAGAATTCGTCAACTATGGTGGAATCTTTGGTGCGTTTGAGATCGATCAGAGACGTTCCGAGTATTTTACGGTTCTCGTAAAGGAAGGACTGGTGAATAGAATCGACGAGGACGACTCCAGCTTTGGGAACTCGTTCGCTGACTCATTTCCATTCCCGTCGATTTGTCTCACTTAACTCCGACGACCGGCCGTCGAGACGAGTAGTCACCCTCCTACACTAAACCACTATACTTTCTCTGCCGTTCCTTAACTTCAGCGCTGTTCATTCGATACTTTTTCAGGAATCGCTTCATCGATATTCTTCGGGCACTTGACGACGATAGCGGCATTCCTGTCCCAAAATATGCTCCGAGAGCAAATCTATCCCTATTTTGTCTTCAGTTCCTAGCGATTGGTACCCCCCTCGTCCTTCTGACGGAGACGGACCCCTCGAGACGGTTGCTCTCTCTCAGGACCCAAAGTTCCCCTTCCATCGCCCTTTCCCCTTTTTCACGCATACGCGTATCTCCTTCTCTCACCGCCACGTCTATCCCTATTTCGCTCCTCTCTTCTTCGTCTTCTACTTAGAGTTAACACGCCGATACGCACACGTGGGCCGGCGTGTGCACGCACACATCGACTGTGGGTCGTGTCCTTCGGACCGTTGCTGCCTCGGCAGTTAGCAACAGCACGGCCGGAAATACCGGGTGTCCGAATACCATCGAGACCATCCGTTCTGAGCGCCGCGTGTCGAGGCGTTTAAGGATCCGCGGGATGTGACGAACGAGCGGATGAGCCTCGTGCTCCGGGAAAAAGACTCGTGTCGCGTCGCTGCGTCACCGTGCGCGAGACATTGAAGACTAGGTCCGGTATTCATCGTTTAAGTATACTCTTAATATGTTTTTAACCAATCACAGAGCCGTATTAGCCTCGTGAGACAACACTTAAGATGATTTTGAAATAGGAATCGACTATGAATACCGGCCTGTTTTAACTTCGTCGATCCGTTAATTTTTTCTGCCACGGCAAAACGGCCACTTTCGTGCGAATCTTTGTGCAAAGAGAGAGAGAGAGAGAGAGAGAGAGAGTGCGAAGGGAGAGAACGAAAAAAAGGTCGCGACAGGTGCGCAATGACTCATAATTTTGCGGAAGTCGCACGGTCGATTCTATCCGAATTCATTCTCGAGAAACAACTGCGGTTCTATAATATTCCCTTTCATCCATTCAACGAGGTATATTTTCGAACGTACCCGCGTGATACTCCGCGGAAAATGATAGTTGCCGTCTCCGGGGCATAACTTGTAATCCCGGCTGAGAGATTAAGCTCCACTTTCACGGCGGGAATCGACGGGAGAACGGATAGAGAGAAAGAGGGAGCTTTTATATCTGCGAGATAGCTATTATTCTATTGCAATAGCAGCTCGCGACGTTCACCGCGAAAAAAAATACACCGGACATAACAGTTCCTGCAGACTGTTAAAAAATTGTTTATGTCCGACAGAGTTCAATGCGGCGCTTAAATGCGCGAGACTCGCGTGGAAATACCTTTTAGAAAAATGGGAAATCGCGCCGCGCCGTGCCGATTGGATTGACCGAACGGCAATGGTTCTCTGCCCTTTTTCTCTCGCAATATCAATTTTACGTTTGCGACAGAATGTGTTCCTCGCGACGCGTATACGCCCTAAACGACGCTGAACACGCCAAGTGTGAAATTAACAGTCGAATGTTGCGTCTGGGCCGTTTTAGTCCGGTCGATTTTCTTCAGATCAGAATATACAAAACCTGTGTTCGACCAATCAAGACGTATGCAGCAGAGACAGGAGCGGAAACCAAGAAAACCAAGAACATGGCCCGCACGACAGAGATGCGGATTCTTCGAACCACTCAGAGACAGAGTACCCAGCGAGATGATCAGGGAAACCTGCGATGTTCCAGACATCGTCAGGTGGATAAGACCGAGAAGACGTGAATGGAACGATCACGTATGCAGAATGGGGGAAGAAAAAAATAGCAAGAACAGCAAGAGATGGAAAACCAAACATCCAGAAAACCCCCCAGGAAGACCCCCAAAGAGATGGATGGACAGCTGGACATCCGGATCACTAGAGACGAATTAATCGGAAAAAAACAGGCTTCGAGCCTAATTTAAGAGGAAGAAGAAGATTTTCTTCTGCCCTGTGTCGGTGCCGCAGGACAGGACTGCCCAGATATTCCTTTTCGGCACAAAGGGCTCGGAGCGGAAACTACTGACGGGCATGACAAATGCAAAAGAAACTTTTCGATCCTACGCTCCAAGAGAAATAGAGAGACCATACTCGAGACACCGTATATGTCAAACATTCATTTTGCACGTGCGATAAGTCCACGTCTGTTCTACCAGGATTTCGAGAAGTTCGACCTGAGCCAACGACACGCGATACTATTTTTCCCACTGGATTGCTTACGGGAGCCAATCAGGATTTAGCCGCGAGTCACCTGATCTTAAACTCTGCATCCTTATTGACTCTTAAGACCGGAGCAGAACAGCTGTCTTATACTCTTAAGCCTTGAGACAATGTTTTATATTTCAAGCCTTCGGCTCGGTCTACAATGAGTTGTTAGTCAGGAGTCGCAACTATGTTTATCCTTTTCCTATTTGGGTGAAAGAAAAAGGATCAACCTATAGTTCCGACTTCTGACTAACGACTAACAACTCATTGTAGGCCTTAGTCTTGAGGTAACGCACAATAACTGTCTTATGTCTTAAGAGTACAAGACAGCCATTTTGCCCTTATAAGAAATCCAATAGGAAAAATAGTATCGTGTGCCGCTGGTTTTCTTGTCGCTTTCATAATGGACAATTTAGGACACCAGGAGTGATTCTGGAAAGGAATTTTATCCAATCTGCGGCACTGATGTTGCCACATTTCGCGAACGCGTTAAAAATACGAGAATCCTGCATCTTGTACAGTATGTGGGTGGACTATTTCTGAGAGTAGCTTTTATAGAATTGCAGCGGTCTTTTCTCGTCCACGCGCATGACTCTTGTATGATGGGATCCTTTGCGAGTTCTACGAGCCCGTTATAAAATGACGCTGAAAAATTAACGCCGGTTATTCTTGGAAGAAACCTTCCGAGGGCCCCTCGAGGATCTTTAATTAATTTCTCGAATTATGACGGGCGAAAGGTTGACTCCTCCAGATACATCATGTCGCATGGGTATCGCAGTGGATTCAATTCCATACCGTTACAAATATGCATCCTTATCTTGCTCGCCGTGAAAATGCGATGCATTTCCGTTGCATTAACGTCACACTTTCGTGGAACACGTCTGACGTACTCACGCTCGCGAGCAGAATATCATCGATCATGCCTTTAATAGCGCGAATGCATTTATAACTTCGCTTCTGCCTCACGAAGCGCGCGGCAGAGCCGTAACCCGTTGATAAAAGTTTCGGTAATCTGCGGCAATAATGATTTCACGATTATCCCGCGTGATAATCGTTAATCTGCAAGAACCCGGGGGTGGGGAGGGCGATAAATCGGCGACGCTGCGGTACTTTTAACCAGGCTTCCGTGACTAGCGTGTGCATTTCGTTAACCGAGACTTTAACGCCTATTTTCCAGGAGAAGAACTCCTTCCTGAATTACAACGTGTCCTGCATCCTAACGCTGCCGCCTTACCAGAGGCAGGGCTACGGCCGGCTGCTCATTGACTTCAGTGAGTATACACCAATATATTATACGCACGTCTCGCAACGACGACGAGCAGCCGTGCTTCCGATCTTTTCGACGAATCACTCACGGTCGTTCGAACGAATCGTCGTCGTTGCTAATAAATTATGTACATTTTAGCGAGCTGGTAAATGCAATATATTTTTATATCTGTTACATAAAGTTTAAAACATGTTTTCCTTATTGCTCTCTTATCAAAAGGATCGTCTACAGTGGATGAAGCAAGCCTGGCGTAAGAAGTCAGAGTGGGAGTAAAGAAATGAACCATTTCCATTTCTTACTTCTACTTCAGCTCTGACGCTTAAGGCCCGAACACACGAAAAAACTTAAGCAGTAAAACTTAAGACTTAAGGGAAATGACCAATGACTGTCGAGAACTGAAAATTCCGATTGGTTGAATTTCTTAAGTCTTAAGTTTTACTGCTTAAGTTTTTTGTGTGTTCGGGCCTTTACTCTCGGTGAATTCGAGCGCAGTTCAATCAGTGCTATAAATATTTTTAAAAATTATGCCTGCACCTTAGCTTTTACACTGATAAGTAAGTGTTCCTTTACAACCTTGCTTTAAGTAAGCTGTGAGCCTTCAGCTGTAAGAAATTGACCAATCACAGGTGAGAGTGAGGGGAATAAATGCCTGTGATTGGTTAATTTTTTACAGCTTAAGGCTTACAGCTTCCTTAAAGCAAGGTTGTAGACCAACACTAAAGGTTTTATTACTTCTTACTGCTTACTTCCAATGTAGACGGTCCTTTAAACTCGTTATTCATTAATCTCATCCGAGATTGCGGTCAACCTCGGCGTTCGAGCTCGCGATCGACATTATCGCTGAGCGCGCGGAGATGCGCTTGACGCTTAAGCGCGCCGCGGAATGCGCGTCGCTTCCTCTCCCCGTCGTGCGCGTCACGTGGTGATTCCACGACGAGCCCGACGCGCGGCGATTCCTCGTCGACGCTCGTCGTCGCCGCCGCCATCGACACGCACGCATGCACGGACACGCGTGTGCACGCGCGCGGGCGCGGGTCGGCGGCGAGGCGCGTAGCTTTGATAATTAAACGCGGGGCTTTTTGCCGTGACGTCATTTTCATTGATGCCGAGCGAGCGTCGGCGGCGTCGGTGGTGGGCATCGCGGCGCTACTACACGCCGGTAGTAGTATGAGGGGCGAGAGGGGTGCGTCGGGAGTTGGTTGGTTGGTTGGTCGAGGGTCGACGCACTGTGCCGCCGTGGTGTGTCGGTCGGTCGACGGGGGTGGCGGCAGGAGGGAAGGGTGATTTCACAACCCCGCCGGCTTTTCCGCGAGCGAGACGACCTCCTCCCCCCCATCTCTGTCGTCCCCTCCCCCTTCATCCCTCCTGCATCCAGTGTCGGTGCCATCGACTCCGCCGCTGGCTGTATTTCGACTGTACAAGGCTGGCGCTACGAGCCCGTGCGCCCCTACGCGAGATATCGAGTCGCACCCCGCTCGGACGGATTCGGTAACCGTTTATTTGTCTGCAGAAAAATATACAGGGGCGGCTAGTGGCCCGAGCATTAAATTACAATGTCCGGAAATCAGTCTAGTGAAAATATATTTGATTTTGATTCTTTAAGACGACTTCGAGGGAGCGTTGCTTAAAGTTTGTCTAGCTATTTTTGTATTATTTCAATTCGTTGTTTTCTTTTTAGCCTCTTCGCATCATTGTTGCTCGCGCTATTTGCTATTTTCTACTTTTGTTGTCATTGTTATCGGCTAATGTTCCACGCTTATCGATCGGTTAATGAATCGTAGCATCAGCATTCGCGTGGCATTAACATATGACAATTCCATGATACAACATTTTTACGAAAAAATATCGCTGCTTCGAATTACTTTTGCAAATCCGTAAACTCGATATGCATGAGCGATCACGTATCGATACGTCACTTCCGCGGTATCGCGGGTATCGTCCCTGATAACGACGTTGGTAGTGGTGATGGTGGACTGTGTAGCGTTAGGTTGGAGAGCGAAGTGGTCTGTGGAAAGTGCGACGCCCGGCGTCTCGCCGCATCGATCGACCCCCACGACCGCCACCGCCGCCGCCGCCGCCGCCGACGTCGCGTACACGCGTGCAGACACGCGTGCAGGCTACGCGTACACCCGCGCTTCCTGTCTCACGCACGCGGCGCGTCCTCCTCTCCTGGGCGACCGCTCCTCCGCACACCTTGATCCCTACAGGCTTCCTGTACCTGCCCTATACCGCCGCCGCCGCCGTTGCCGCGCCTCCCTTCACTCCCTTCGCTCACTCCCGCCGCCGTCGACTCGTCTCCTCCCCCCCCCCCCTTCCGACGCAGGGCGCCCGAAGGGC